CAGAGGAGCTCTTCTCAAGAGAAGGGCAGGGACAGGGAGCGTGGAGACTGTTTCCAGGCACAAGGGCTGCTTTGGTAGCGGATCAGTTTGTTCAGGAGATTATGTGAGTTCTTATAGGTACTGTGAGGCACATCTGCTCGTGAGCAATTGTTCCCTGCATTGTTTATCTATGGCTGTGGGAGGTGACTCTTTAGTCTTGGAAAGCTGGAATTTCCTGCTCTGTGTATTTTTAATCCCTTAGATGCTCCCGTGAGACTGGAAGTATTCCTAGAAGACAGGGAAATGAAGACCTTTCCCTTCCAACTGTAGGTTTTTGTAAAACAAACAAGCTGCCAGTGTTTGTTTTCCTATTCAGGACCAGTTTATCAATAAACCTGAGAGACTTGTTATTGTGTTCATAAACTTTTCAGTGGAGATCAACTCTCATGATGTGTTTGCACAACACCTGGCACAGCTTGGCTTTGATCTCAGCTGCAATGCTAATGTGCAGATGCCGTTATTCAGCATTCAATAAATTTCTGATTTCCCTCCCAGCTTTCAGAAATAATATTCCAAAATTTATGCAATGATGCTTTTGTGGGAGCAAATTACTTGGAGGAATATCTGAAAATTAAATGGAATAATGGAAATGGAAAAAAATATGGAAAATTAAATGGCTCTTCACTTGTCAATTAAGAGCCAGGTTTTGATCTTGATATACCTTCTCTAAACTGTAAGGGTGTATACATGTACAGTAACTTGTAAATATATTATTGTAAACAGTAAGCTGCCTTTCACAACTTTATTTTTGGCCTCTTTTGACAGAGACTCACATACCTCTGGGATCCTTTACCAAGTGTTTAAGTAGACTGTCAACTGACTCTGAAGTCAGTAGCCAAGTTACAGCTCAGCTATCAGGGATACGATTAATGCAGGAATTACTGGGTAAAATTTGCAGGTTAGGGTTATGAAGGCAATTCAAATGGTCACTTCTGAGCTTTTAAATAATTGATTATAATCTATGAAATAACTCTAGATTTTTCATAACTGAAACAAGCTGGAAACTAGGGTCTTGCCAAGGGTCAGTGTAATAAATGTCTCCTATGACGGCTGGCAGCAGAATCAGTAATGAATGTAATGTTCATCATTCATGATCTATGCTATTTAGCAAAAGTTGAGGACTGGGAGAAGGGAAGGATTATCATCACCATTGCCTAATGGGGATTAAGTGATTTGTCCAAGGTCGTGCAGGAAGTAAAATAAGAGAGGGTGTTCCAAAGGTACAGATCAGTGGTTTAAATTCATTCTTAGTATCTGCTAATCTTTAAATATTTATAACAGCCAAAATTTAAAAAAAAAAGGGGGGGGAAGTAGAAGAGGGACAGAATCATCGTCTTAGCAGCATGCCATGCTGTGATGCATTTGTTTCCCTGATGCAGAGTATTAATTTTAAGAAGGTCTATATCTTAGGAGGGAGAGGCTGGAGCAAGATCCCTTCATGCCACTTGAACATCTTTTTCATATGGAACTGGCTCTGAATAAGGATTGTAAAATTATTGCTTAAAAAGGTAGAAGCCTTTTAAGGGATCTTTATAATTACAGAGTGAGAGCCAGCCACCCCTCTTTTTCATCCCTGGCCAGGGCTCTTGTTTGGTCAGAATCCAAATCCTGCTGCCTTTATTCATAGGGTTGCAGCACACTCAGTGAGCAGTCACATGCAAATCACTTCTCAGGCTGGCATGAAAATAGGTTGGTTGTTTTATCCTCCATCCTCCTCTCAGCATTGGCCAGCCCTCTCAGGAGCTCAAGTGAGGTGTTTCAATGACAGGCCTGGGACGGAAGGCAGCTCCTGGAGGGAGGAGTTACGGACTTGCCAGTTATCACCTATGCCTCTCCCTTAGGACTTAGGGAATCTCTTCTCCAAGGGCACAAGCCTACAGCAACACATCTTGCAGGGTTCAGCCGTGGCATGACCGAGTCGTCAACGCACACTGGCTCATGGTGCCGTAGGGTTTACGCCATCCCAACCAGGGACAGGAGAGGAAAATTCTCCTCCCACACACTCTCTCTGCACACGAGTACAGGTAAATGCTTTGCTTTCTGGATGGTTTTGTTGGTTTTTTTTTTAAACTATGACAGAACTGACATTTTCATGTAAAAGTATACTTTTTTCTAATCTTTTAGACCAGAGGAGAGAAACACAACTCTAGAAAGATTTCTTTCCAACAAAACGCTGGCATGGTTCAGTTAAAAAGCAAAACAAATTTCTGCTGATACACTCCTTCCTGTGTCTCCTACCCTTCCTAAGTACCCTCCCTAAGAGCTGAGTACAGATCCCTTAGTCCCACCCCACCAGCCTCCCAGCCAGTGTAAGTCAGCTGCTTATGGGAAATTAATGGAAATGAATCAGGAGAAATACTTAAACATAGTATCATCCCCAGTTCTCTCTCCAGTAACGAAGAGCTTGCGTGCTAGTAGCTTGTTGCTAGTCCCCGGTTGCGCACACGCGAGCGCGTTCTTTTCGGGACACCCTCCCGCCGGTAGCGTTGGGCAGCCAGCACGCCGCTTTTCCAGCGGGACAGAGCCGGCGCCGGAGGGGAGCTGAGCACCTTGCCCTGCGGCTGCGGAGCTCGCCTTCGCCCGTTGTGAGAGCTCACCACTCCCAGCAGCCCCGCGGAGCCGAATGCCGGGGGTACGTTTGCACAGGGAGGGCACGTTCGCACGGCCTGTCCCTGCGGCTGAGCCAGCGAACAACTAGCTGAGGTTAAAGGCAGCTGTTCTAAAATACCGCTGTAGTATCATTTCCTCGGCCGGAGGAGAATTTGTTTTTTCCTCAAGAATCCTGTGATTAAGGCACACCCCAGGAGCTGTCATGCTGAATGCCTCTCTCTAGCTGTGGAAGAGAGCTCTCGCAGGGAAGTCCCTGTCAGACAGTGATGGGAACCTGAAGAAATCTGCCGAGAAAACCCGTCCGTGCAGCTGTACCAAACCTGTCACAGTTTAGCTTTAGAATGATTACATTCAAATGATTCATTTCACATTTCTAAATATAGTTGGAAAGCAATGGAGAATAAGGCTTGAAATCAACCCTCCGAGGGTGTAAGAAAATTTAATTAATGGCAGAAAGAAGGGCTGTAACAAGCAGGAGAGTTAGATTAATACTTCCCATCTACATTTCTTGCTTTCCCAACATAAAATGTGTTTTAAATCACAGTAGATATTGTTGGAAAAAAAAGGTTCATTTAATTTTAATGTTTTCACTGAAAAACAGAGACCATGAAAGTGTTTCAGTTAGAGGTAAATGAGTGGTGATGGGGAATCCAGGAAACAGAAATAAAGTTTCTCCCTTTTTTGTGTTAGAACATTTTGGAAAAAAGCCTTATTTTAGTATTTTTAAAAAAGAAGTATTTTTCTTAATTTCCGCTTTTCAAGAAAGGTTACCTTATCTTTTCCAGTCCTCTCTCATTATTATTAGTGTCTGTTTCTGTAGCAAAACCTCACTCAAAGCAACCAATGCAGTTCCATATACAATGTGCATGTAGGGCCCAATACTTGGTGTAAAAGTAACTGAGAAACTCTCAAGGTCTGCAGACTCCCTATAACAATAATTCATCTCTCAGGACTGAATGAGGAGTATAAGAAATAACTGAAAAAAATATTTTTTTCCCCAAAAGTGACAAATGATAATTTTTACTTAAAAAAAAAAAGCTCACATTTACCTAAAAAAATAAGCCATCAGAAAAAAAAGACTACTACTCAAAAACGTCTATTTACAATCTGTGAACCAGATACTCCTTTACTCTAGTTCCACTGAATTAATTACCCATTGACAACCTGACCAGGAATTTGTATTACTCAAGTCTACTTTGACAAATTTAAATATCTACCTCTTTTCAGGTGGAGAGCTGCAAATTAGCAACGATTTCCCTGGTGATATTCTGTGAAAGTCAGAGTTTCCTACACTTTGGCATCTCGTGATATTAAGAAACACTTGCACACAAAAACCTCAAGATTCACACCTGAGCAATACAACTTGTCCTCCCAGGAACAGGAGGACATGCTGCAGAGAACAGGCAAGCTAATTTACTTAAAATTCAGGAAAGACTAGAACACATGCACACCTCTACTCCAGGGAGGCTGTTTCGTTTGGTATCAGATAAAACCCAAAGGATGAGTAAAAGAAAGAAGGGAAGGGTCAAGACTAATCCTTGTCTCATCAAATCAACACAAATTGCTTTTGTGTTCACCCAAGGTTTTCAAACAGTGACGTCCTCCAGTGGGACAGTGAGGCCAGCTGTGAACAATAACAAGACCTGGACACAAATTTTGCAAAAGACAACAATTTTTTTTAAAAGGAAAAAATAAGAAGGCTGTAAAATACTTAATTAAAAAAAAAAAGAAAGAAAAAAGAAAAAAAAAAAGCACCTTTAGAAACAGAGCAGAATGGCTCAAAGCAAAGCAAGTTTGGTGGTGGACAAAGCACAGTGCCATCGACCTCGGAAGTCTATTGAAAACCAAGGCTCACATCTAGACACAGGTCTCTGGTGAAATGAACTGGGTAACCTCGGCTCAGTTTGGGGGTTTATGGTGTGTGTGCGTGACAGTAACAGCATGATAGACCCTTCTTATGGGAAGCTCTGAAATGAGTGAGGGGAAAAGAGGGTCCTGACATAGAAATCCTTCCCGATTAGAGGTTGCCAGGCCATCCAGCGTGGATGCAGAGATTTGCAAGCAGAGGGCAGTGTTTCATGCTGATAGTGCTAAGCAAGGGCTCATTCCTGAAGTGAATGCCTGGAAGAGTATTGTAATGTCACTGTGGGCGTTGAGAATCCTTGGGGAAGGTCAGCTGCAGTTTGAGTCCCTGGAGAGTTCTGCTGCTATGGCTTCCCTTAAACAAGACCTTCATTTGGCAGCATTTTGAAGACACTTGAACGCCAGATGTTGCCCCAAGCATTGTTCCTAGAGAAGTTGGTCCATAGCTAGAAGTCAGAGCTCCTTTTACACATGATGGAGGAGTCATCTCAGTGGAGGTAGGTAGGTTGATTCCATCGGTACCAAGATCTGTTTGCAACACAGGGAATAAGAGCTACAGTTGCCATGTTGTTAACAGTTCCCCTTGAAATAAAAATCATTATTATTCCATTTGTAACCTTACTTTGACTTGGCAGCAAATGATCCTTTGCTGCTTTAGGAAGCTTTTAGCAAAACCCCTGTCTAAGCAACACCTGCCATTGTGATCATGACTTCACGTGCTAGCTGGCTGTTGGACTTCCTCCACGTACGAGGAGGTCTGATTCACGGCACAGGATGATCCCTGACTCAGAAAGCCCAGCAGCTACGGGTAACGCCCTCTGCTCCCTGTTGCCTTCCTACTAACACGGCATCCTTGATGCGATGTGCAACGAGCAGCAGAAGCTACAAGTGCAGAGAGGCCTGAGCAGCACAGGCTGTGGCAGAGGCACGTTCAGTGAAATAACCAGAAGGGCCCTGAGCCCGTGTGCGTGGCTCAATGCTTTTATAGCATCTAAAGGCAGTGCAGAGGAAAATCCTTGTTCTTGTTTCATCTGCCGCTGTGGAAGAGTTACTCTGCGGCAGCGCTTCCTGGGTGGCACTGCAGGAGAGAACACGGGCTGTGGAGGGGGTTAGCCAAGCAGAAACAGCAAAATACGCTTTCTTCTGCTTCCTCCACACAAGGAGCTGGTTTATGACAGTCCTTATGGCCAGCGTTTCTATTCAGGTTTTTTGTTGGTTTTCTTTTCCTTTTTTAACCAGCACAGTTTCTGAGGCAAAACTTGATTTAATATTTGCCTTCAAGCAGAAAAACGGCCGTATCCCAAGAACATGCCCCCGTGTTACTCCACGTTGCTAGAGTCTCTAAAGGCTTGCACGTTCTTCTCTAAGGTTCCATTGTTTTTCTCCCAAGCCCTCCGATGCCCTTGCCAGGGAGCAAGCTGGGGGCCCGCACTGCCTTACCCTGAAGAGTTGAAACCGGACGAGTTCATTGCAGCTTTGGAGTTGCTCTGGGCCGTGCCGGGGCTGCCGGCATGGAGTGCGCTGCCAGGGGATGAGGGCCTGCTGGAGTTCCCTGGGGAACACGATGATGTTACTGTGTGGCAGAGAGAGCAGAGTAAGGCTGGGATCTCCTTTTCCTGCCAAGGACAGCCCCAGCCCAGACACTTCCACCACCTTGAACCCATTCTGTTGTTCGTCTGACTCACTGGCAGCCCTGCAGCAGGAAGGCAGAATCTGTGCCCCAGCCACAGAGCAAGCGAGGGTCTCCAGGACCGCGCTCTCGGTAGCACTGCGTTTCTATTCCTGCGAATCGCACTTCTCGAAGGAGACATGAGAGTCTTCTGCTGAAGAAATGCAGTAACCTACCCCCAAGCACTCCTCCTGTTTGGCTTCTAGGTGTGCCTGGCTCCCGAACATAAACACCCCAGTAAAATTTGCCTAGGATTATCCTGGTAATGTTACCATGCCCAGGAAGCTTTCCATGTCTTTGCTCCAGCCAAGAGGAAAACTCTGCTGTTCTTACCCCTTGTACACTAGTTATGCGGGGATACTTTCCCTGGCCAAACCCAAGGGTCTTATGAAGAGTGGCCTGCGATTATGACCTAGAAACCAAGTAGTCAGAGAGCAAGAGGAGAGGAAGGGGGGAAGGAATGGTGAGTGGGGCAGGTTTCTCAAGGCTTACCAGTCCCAGGCATGGTGCTATGCACCGGATTGACGGAGAGGGGCCCCAAGGACCCTGAGGTAGAGACCTAGAGAGAAACAGAAGCAAACAATAAGCAGTTGGCACTATGAGGGGATAGACTACAAAATGCCACTCCTTTCACATTCCCTTTAGAGTGTGCTGGCTCCCAGGCAGACTTCTTATCTACATCTGAGGCACCCACAGATATTTCTATTCATACTCTAGTGTAGAAGCACCGTTCTTGCACCCAGGGCCATGCAAACAAATCACAATGAGTATTAGATATGCCTGACATTCTCTACACAGGTCTAACTTTATGGATCAGCTATGGAAAAGCCTGAAATTGTCAAACGCAAGCCAAACTTTCTGGAAGTCCTAAGATCACACCGGTAGGAGCCACTGCCCTTTGGATGTTTCAGACTGGACGTTCCTAGTCCCAGTCGAGTTGTCCCAACTCTGGTCTTGGGCACAAATAATCCCTTTTCCTTTAGGGAGTTCTTGATGGATGAGAATTCTCAGGTGACAATTAGTAATTTGGTGGCCACAATCAAAGCGAGCCTGGGGCATTTGCTGTTCAACCATGATACTTTAACTACAGGCAACACGTTGTTCAGAATGACTGATGAGCAAAGGTGTACTTTGTACAATGCATTCACAAGAAAACTATTCACCAAAGCTACTGCTTTAAAAATTCATGGCTTGCAAGCAGCATTTTGTTTGTGACTGTAGACCAAACGTGTTGTGCAACAAGTGACCAAACTCCTTGAGATGCTTTCCTGCCTTCTGATGGATAATTCCAAAACTCAGAAGATTTGAAGATAAAATATTGCTTGCAAATACGTACTCTCCCTCCCACTCACCTGTGCTCCAGCACTAACAACACCGTAGGGAGGCTCCTGCCACTTTTATACGTGGAAGCAACTAAGCAACTATTAACTAGCAGAAATGCAATAGTAGCTCGTTATCCGCAGTAGTCACTGACAGTAGGACACACTTTCACCAGCTCGCAACAGTTTCTCTTCCCCTCATCCTTCCTGGCCGTGAAAATACGCTTACCAAAATGTGAATGTACAACATGAAAGAAGGACAGCTAGCACTACTGACGTGTACTCTGCATTTCTGCACAGATGTAAAACAACAAACTGATATGTAAATGGTTATCATTAGGTTTCAGAGTTAACAACTAAATTTACATGAGTGGATGTAATTTGCGTTCCATGGAATGCTGATTCCTTCTCTATTAACTTTGGAAAGCTTCTATTTACCAATCTCAGGGTGAAAAATTTTGGAATAGCACCCCTATTTGGATAAATTATCCTACAATTAAACTGACCTTCTAGAAAACGTGTGTTTTTTTCTATTGTTTTCATTAATCAAATAAAAATAAATGTTCTGTAAGTGCAGACATGAGATTCCATTCAAGTTGGGATGTTGGCTGTGTGTATGCCCCATCCATGGCTAGCCCAGCTGCCTCTCTGCACACTCCTGCAGGTGTAGTCCCCCACTGGATTGTGGGCTTGCCAGCAACTTGTGGACTTGTGTGCACAAGGAAATGTCCCGTCCTGTTTCCTTTTCCAGCAAACCCTGCTGTATTCTCCCACCTTTTTCCCTTCTAGTTTGGGGTAGCATTGTAGAGCTCCTTATCCCAAAGTCTCTCACCAGTCTGGAATTGTAGATAGGTGATTTGATGGGGGATGGCATTGGGCAGCTGATCCGTTTTTCCTTCTGGCGCCGGTTGCAGAACCAGACCCGAACCACCTCCTTTTCCATGGAGAGCTGCTCTGCTATCAAGGATATCTCCTCTGAACTGGGCTTGGGGTTCTGCTAAGAAAGGGCAGGAGGTTAAAGAAAGCCCCCAAAAGCTGTAGTTTATAGCATCAACGTGTGCTTCTGCTGCTGGAAAGGCAGAGGGCAAGGGTGGGGTTGGCTGTAAACTGTGGAGGGGAGAAAATTTACTTCTAAGACAAAGGGTAAATATTTGGGTGAGAGATTATGTTCTGTGAACCAGAAAGTGCCTCTGATTCAACATCAAGTCTCATGGAATCAGTGGAGGATGAGTCACAGTACCTGTTACTGCATAAAGCACCACACTCTTTGATCTTAACAGCACCCTAAATCATTGCTTGGGGGGAAGCTAATGACTGGTGGTCTTCTTATCACTACACAGGACACACAAGCTCCGAGTGCTGTTTGTACACCCACCTGCACCATCTCAGAAAAGCCATTTCTTCTCCTTCTTCTTCCATCCCTCATTTATAAAGGGAAATAATAGTGCCTATCCTTTCTTCCAAGTCACTTACTTTCTGGTGCATTTGACAGCATTTAGCTTTATGGGTTTTGATCTGAGTTGGAGAGTTGAGAGTCAAAAATCCATGGCATGGAGATGCCAAGACAGTTTTCCCATTACAAAGAACGCCTCATACTAGCTAAAAATGAGGTGCTCTAATGACCTGACAATGTTTTTTGTTCTCACTAACAGCCTTGGGAGGAAATTTTTATATGATCCGATACGAGGGAGAAACAAAGGAAAAATGAGGGCTGGTCAAAGACAGTTTTGATGAAAAATTTTCAATGAACAAGTTAGTCCTACTGATTTAAAGCTCTGTTTGCTCTCTAGTGATTTTTCTTGAAAATCTTGATGCTTAAAAAGTAAAAGGCTCCACTTCTGAAATTATTCAGCAGCAATATCTGGAGCAACTAGTTCTGTGGTCTCACCAAGACCTGCTTAATGGGGCATCCGTTTCCGTCTTGCACCATGGGCACACGGTTCTTGAGACACGCATCCACAACTTGCAAAGAGAAGAGGTGGGTGCAGGAGATCAGCTTTGACTAGGGCATTGATCAGTGGACAGTAATGGGGAGATATGGTGATGAAATTGTGATTCCTTTGAAACAACATATACCAAGGAAATAATCAAATAATTTTGACACCTTCCCTGTTAACCCCTTCAAGCATTTTCTAACCTGCTGTCAAAACAAACAAAAGATCTTTTTTTTTATGATTCAGTGCTACTATAACCTAGCAAATACTAAACTTTGAGACAGTTCATGACACATTGAAAGATTTTCCCCTCACATCTTGAAATCTTTTCTCCAGCGTGGAGCGAATGTTGGTCTCAATGCTGGTTCGCTTCTTTCTTTTCCGTCCAAACATCTCATTCACTGAGGGGTAGGAATTGGGAGTGTTCATGGAAGAATCCAAAGGAGCAGATTCTGAGGAAAGAGGAAGGGGAAGAGAGATATTCAAGAAGATAATGACTTATTTTCATTCCTAGTTCCTTTCTGGGAATTGTCACACCCCCTAAAATAAGTTAAATGTTCCTACATTGTGGATCCTTCCTCTGATGATGATTAAAATTGCTCCAACAGTCCCAAATCCATCAATGATCTTGTCCAAATCAGGAAAGAAATATGCATGCTAAGGTTTTAATCAACACACTATTTTTCCTTTTTCCAGCTTGATTTCCAGCCTGCTCTGATGGGGACCACACATTTTCCAATTTTTTAATTTCACACAGTTAAAGATATTGACTTAACACCACTGGGGTGAGGCCTCAGGCAGCTGAGACACCTCCTGACATAAATTGGTCAAACATGCAACTCCTGAAGGGCTGGATGAAGCACCTGAGATTAATGCCACTCCTGCCGTGGCCTGCAGCCAAGAGAGGACACCAGCCCAACACTGCTGCTACTGGGGATTCCCCTTGCAGTGGAACCTTCCGTTTCTAATTACTGCTCACAGGCTGATCTCTGAGCACTTCAGGAGTCACTTCCTACTCTTTCTGCTTTACACAAGGAGGAACTGAATGGTCCAGCCCAGCTATTTGCCCCAGGCCATGCAACAGAGCAAACGGCGATGCAGGAAGGGACTGCCCCAGACATCAAATCGCCATGTGAATCCCTATTGCCAGAGAGAAAGGACAGATGTGGTTTGGTATCTAGGCAGCTGTGCAACCCACTGGGTGATCCACGAAGAAAGCAGGCTGTTACCAGCCCAGCCACAGATCTGAGAGGCTCCAGCCCCGACATTCCAGGCTTTTATTGGAGATTCCTGCATGGATCCCCTCATCCTGGCCAAGGCTGGTGGTGTTTCTGCATGTAATGTCACCCACCTGCATCACTCAGCCACTTCTCCAGCAAAGGTTTGAGCTTGCACATATTCTTAAAGCTCAGGTTGAGAGCCTCGAAGCGGGAAATGGTGGTCTGGCTGAAATCATTGCCATAGAGCTTCCCCATGGCAAGTCCAACATCACCCTGCCAGGAAAGATCCAAATCACAACATGAGCTCAGAAAAAACTCTCACGGTTTCCTGCTGTCAGACCACCTCCCAGGCTGCTTCCAGAACAGGGGCAGCCTAGTTTCCACGACCTGCCTTCCAGACAAAGTGAGTTCTTTTCCCATGGGAGTCTACCCCACACCCCTGAGCCTTTGTGTATTGAAGAAAGTGCAGATAATAAGGTCATGGTAATGAAGTATTAGGAAGGGTTTGTTTCTTCATGTGTTTGGAAGGGGATGGTCTAAACAAAGCCAAACTCTATCTAATCCAGCCCTTCCTCTATCCACTCCTCTGCCACAAATTCCTCCAGCCCAACATGTCCACATCACAAGCAACACCACCCTTCCCACTGGTGAGACAGCTCACCTGTGTGAACCCCAATTTGATTCGCCTTTGTTTGAAAGTCTTAGCAAACTTTTCCAGCTCCTCCAGGTCACTGGGTTCCTCAGATGCTCCCGACGGAGTTAGGTGCTTTGCCACTTGCAAATGCTGGGGTACATCCAGATGGGGTTCAACCGATGAGCCAGGGAGCCCAGAACGGCCCACAGCCTGTTAAAACACCAAAAAGAGATGCCTAGAGTCACAACGATAGAAAAGCAGAGTTTTCTCTGCCATTTGCCCTTAATGAAGCAGCACTTTTTGTAGATGGGTGCTTCTCAGGGTGGGACTGTATGTTGGACTGAACGTTGAGGCAAGTTACCTGTGATGCCAGGCTGGGTCCCGGCTGGGAGAGGAGAAGGCTGCCCTGTTGCTGAGGGAAGGAGAGGATGTTTGGCTGCAAAGCTGAGGAGACAAAGAGAGACATATCTGATCAGACCATCTCCTTCATCAGCACCTAGGCAGCTGAACATCACCCTGCGCAGGAAAGGCTCATGAAGCTCTGAATGGAAGATGTCAGCTAGTGCTCATTCAAAATAGGAGAATTTCAGCCATTACAAATGTGGATGGCTCTGAGCTGGATTATGAGAAAGGAAAGGTGCTTTTCGTGGCTTTTTAGCCTGAAAGGGATTGTGACAACAAGGGTATAGGTAAAATATCTCACCCACTGATACCTGCACGTAGCTCACTAACCCAAGGCTGAACTAGGGCATAGACATTTTACATAGACATCTGGCTTGAATTTTAGATGCCAAGCAGCAGAGAATTTACTACCTCCTTAGTGGTGATCTCCCAGAGTGCTTAATCATTGTAGCTGTTTAAAAAAAAGTGCATCTTATTTCCAATAGAAGCTTTTCTGACTCCAACTTTCAGCCACTTGATCTTGTTAAAAAAAGTCCTGATCCTAAAGTTAATTTCATGAGCCTACCCACTCTGCTTTCTATATACATTTCATTTTGATGTGTCATTTTGAAGCCATCTGACCCTTTCTTTTCTACCCTACTGTATTTCAAATAAATTGAATTTCTTTTGGAATATATAAGCTGACACAAAATGATGAAAGGAAAAAAAGCAGAATCTATAAAACTAACAAAAAATAGTATTTATGGACACTGCATAATTGTTTAGTTGACAAACTGCCAAGTACAAGCCTATATCTCTTACAGGGAACGTCTTAAAGGATTAAGTAGCGAGACACTGAGACAGTGTAGTTCCCTAGAAATTTAGTTAGGTTCTTCAAGTCTGTTGTGGGTTAATCCTATAGAATTTAGTGAGGATTTATAACCTTTCTTGAAATAGTCAATATATTCTATTGATTGTAACTGACAGTTATAGAGAAAACTATAGAAATTTACAGACTTCTAAAAAAAAAAAAAGAAAAAGAAAAAAGATAATCTCCAGAACCGATCACTCCCTCCTCTCTCTCTTTCTGTCTTTCCTTTTTTAATTTAGATCTGAATGTGCAGGATCCCATTTATTTATTTAGATTGGTGTTTCAATAAGCCTCTCTAATGCTGGAACAATTTTGAATTTCAAATGCAGGCTGGTAATGAGGTGCACATTTTTAACAGTGAAGGTAATTAATCACCGGAATGGCTTGCCTAGGGACATGGCGGATGCTCTGTCATTTGGAGTCTTTAAAATCATGATTGAACACCTTTGCGAAAGCTAAGCTCTAGCTCAAATGAAAATTATGGACTGGATTCAGGAATCACTGGTTCAACAGCTGATGAGACTGAGGCTGTGTTTTCGTAAGACGAAGACTTCAGCAGCAATATTTTGGCTGACAGCATGGCCAGCACCTACCTGGCTGCTTGTTTCCACCTTTACAGCACAGAGCGCTCACCCCCTTATTCAAGTGTGCCAGCATTAGCTGTTTGAAGGGCTGCACGATGAACCAGATCAGAGCATAATGAATCGGACCTGGGAACTTCTCTGGCTTAAAAACAGCTTTAAAACACTAAAACCAAACCAAAATACGTGTCCTCTTAGAAAGGTTAAGCCCACAGCCAAGTCTCTTTGGCCACGAAATCCATGAACTGATGTACCCATCAGTCAGAACTCAGGAAACACTGAGGGTGTTCCCATGGTGGCCTGAGGAACAACTTCAGGAATATTTTGTGCATCTCTTCAGTATGAAGAATGCTCCACCTGTATCTGTACCAAAAAAATAATTCCAGAAAAACCAATCTGTGCCTTCGCTCCCACCTGCCAGTGGCAGAGAGCCGTTAAAACTTGGCAATAATCTATTCACATGGAAGAGCTCTTACACAAAAAGCCGGCTACTGGCCAGAATATCCAGTCTTTATCAAGTCTGGAACCCAAAGGCGTCATGGCCAAACAAGTGGCCATCTGCTGTAGGGGTTATAGCTGCCAAAGGAAGTCACATAACAGAAGAAACTAACTCTATAAAAGAAAGCAAGCTTTCTTGTCCAGTATAATGTGTTTCCTATTATAAAAGCAGAGAGTAAGCAATAGATTATCCTGATCCTGCCATTTCAAACAAGCTAAATTCTAGATTATTGTTAAATATACATCTAGTAGTTTCTTTATACATCACTTTGCATCATTTGGCAGAGAGAGGAGCTTATACACTGTCAATGAGAAATAGCTTTCTGACTTGCCTACAATATAGGGGTTTTTTGGGGGGCGTATGTACCAGTGGATTCTAAACGGCAGAGATTTTAAGGTTTTAATTATGAATTTTGGTCCATGCAGAGGGGACGTCTGTGCTGGAATAAATCAAGAACGTGAGCAAAGGACCCAAGTCCCTTTGCATCTGCCAGGTTATGGATCAAAGACTATGTTTGCCTGTCCACAAGCAGCATAAAACTTCATCAATGGCATACCTGTATCCCTGTTATTGGAGAAATGCCAAAAAAATATCGGTAGGAAAAATAGAAACGCAGGGACTTTCTTAAGCACCGAGTTCAGTCCTCAATCCTTTCATCCCTTTTGTGAAGCTGATTATACCCTGTTTCAGAAGTAGTTAGACCTCCTGTCCTCTCCTGCCCCATGGCTTGGAGCGAGATTTGGGAACAACCGCTGGCAACTCAACCTCTCAGCTCTCATCTGCGGGTTGCTCCTGGCTAGGTTAGACCTGTTTGTTCTAGTGCCAGCATCGTCCTTCCACCAGAGCAGCGCAGCTCCTTCCTCTAAGCTACTTGGAGAGATCAACTCGGGCTCTCATCAGTTTTCTGGAAGAAATGAAGAGTGCTAACCCAGCGAGGCTGGAAGCCCAGGCGGGCTGCAACTGCTCCGCAAGGAGCAGGCTCCTTGCTGTTTTGCTGAAAGCCAACCGGGTGCTGTCCTGAATTTCAGAGATGGGATCCCTACCAGGTCTGCAAAGACTGGCCCCAAGGTGGCACTCTTGGTGCACACAAGCCACAGGTGCCAGTGGCATCTCCGGAACGGGACCCTTCCTGGAGCAACTACACGTGCAAGGGATCACCCCAGGTGTGGGAACCAGCACAGGGCGAAGAGCAGGGGGAAATAGCTCTGGTAACATAGCAGGGGAACAGACACCATCATGCTGGGAAAACCTAACAGACCAGATTAAAAGCAACAATCATGAGAAGGGACTTTTTTCCTAGATATGTATCTGCTTATAACAATGTGCCTTTCAGCTATATTGCTCTTACCTTGTTGCCCGGCCTGAGACTGAGACAGAAGAAACTGGGGAACTGACTGCATATGACCAGGAAGCAATACCAGCTGCTGCAGCGTGTGAAGAGAGCTCATATCCTATGGGAAAAAGCAAAGGGAACAAGAATACTCAGAGATGTCTGCTCTTCACACAGCATCACCTGTCCTATAAAGCTTCCCTGCTCTTTTGTACTGTCCTTGATCTCATTCACACTTTTAATTTAATTGCCAACACACCAGATTTGTGCAGTTCATGCACTGGAGAGCTACAGATACAGAGGTACTCCAGGATCTGAGGTTTTCAGGTATATAAGAGATCTGTGCAAACACAGACATCCACATGGAGAATTGTCTACTTTTATCTGAAAAAGTAAATTATTGAAAAATTATGTTTTTGAGGCACTGACAATCAAAACCTGGTTATTAGAAGTAACAGTGAAGCCTCTTGGATTTCAGTTTCTTCCAGATAATGTATTTTCAGTGAACTCCCTAAAATTACACAGGAAAGTGCAGCTGACTGTCCCATCTCATGAGCACTGAAAGCCTACTTTCCACAGAAGGCTGATTCCCCAGCCATCCGTGTGCTGACATGGGAAAGAAGCTATGCCCAGCAGCACCTGATTCTCTGCACCAACATCAAATGCAATGCAATGGACACAGTGACCAGATCCAAAAATGTTTCCTGTTCTTCGCCACGTAGCTGCCAGAAATTCCCCACCCTGCGTTGAGAAGAGCAGGCAATAGGCACTGAGAGATGGGGATTACATCTTAGCACTCTTTCACATTACTGGGGTCCCAGCCCCAGGTCCATTGTTGGAATTAGGGGATAAGAGCTTACATTTGTTTGGGATAGACACACAAACAAAAAGAAGCCCCAATAAGACCAACTCTCTTTAGAGGTACATTTTTAAAGGTACTCATTACTCAAGACGATGAGCTCTTTGAGCTCTCAAGAATGGTTTTGAAGCCTTGGGGAACTTGAACAGTCCCATAACTGTGTAAGGAATGTGAATACCCTACAAAAGAATGAAGGAAGAGATTACTGGGCAGCTGTGTGGCCTTCTGGCAACTAACTCCCACTAGCATTTAACAAGAGGTAAGTGCTAAACTCCCATTTTTTTTACCTTAGGGGAAAAAAAATTCCCTCTTGATTTCTTCTCTTGTGTAAGTCACTTGGAGCCAACATATTCAAGGATGGCTATACTGGTTTAGTTCAAGGGTTAATCTAGCCTAGGCTCCTATCTCCAACAATGGCATTAATCAGGCGTTCATGAAAGAGGAAGACCAGGGCAAGCAAATCCAACGCTTCCCCTTGATGTTGTCTCAGCCTCCAATTATTTTCAATTCAAGGGATTTCCTGAGCATGGTGTGGTTTGCCTACTTAGTAAACCCTCAAAGGAAATCTCTTCCAAGTACATGTCCAGTCTACCTTTGAACCCATGCAAAACTTTCTGCAGAAAAGAAAGAGGCTGAGGAGGAAGCTGACTTTTGCCAACACAGATTCACTTTTCCAATTCAGTGTCCATCATATCCTCAAGTCTCCTTCTGCCACTGCCAAAAGGCACACGTAATTTGGCAAGTGTCTCAAAGTCAGCCTCTTCTCCGGAGTTTAACTAACCAGTGCCATTTCAGGCTTCTGGATCCCTGAAGCAGCAAAGTCACTTACCCCCGCGATTTGGCTTCCAGGCATCATTGATGATCCCTGCACAAGGTGACCTGACCTAGGGGGGATTGTAGATTGCAAGGAGTCGCTGAGGTCTTCGGTTTTAATCTGAAAAAGAGCCAAGTAATTGTAGCATTAGGGAGCAGAGACAAGGGGATGCAGGAGGTGTGGGGTGGCTAGGAGCCTGGGAGGCTGGAAGGGATCGGGAAGGGGCTCCTTTCAGAGAAAAGTTAGAGGTCAGGACTCACTGCTTCCATCCCCAGCTTTGCAGAAAGGCGTGGTCATTCCCCACTGCTGCTCTCCAGTTTATAAAATGGACACAGTTTTCCTGCTCTGCCAAGCCAAAGGGAGGCTTGCAGTTTGCTCAATTAAAACACATTAATTCAAACACTTTAGAAAGTAACCAAGTTCCAGTGACTTAGCAGGGTTTAAAGCATGTGAGTGCTTTCCTCAGACAAAACACTGAGGCATTTTGTGGAGTTATGAGGAAGACACAAAGCACGTCTCCTTTACAGACCACGACTCACAACCCAATGGCAAGGTTGGCTGTAGATGGCCTCTCATTTTGTACCGCAAGTAGCGGAGAACGGTACAAGGGGATGGGAAAGGAAAGGTCATGAAATAAAAGACCTCAAAAAGCAGCGTAATTCTCCAGACTTGAAAATGCAACACCCCAGGCACCAAACATATTTGCTCAGCTTCTACCAGAAAACAAGAAGTAATTCTACTGGTCAGGCAAGGAAAAATCTGCTTCCTTAGCTAGAACAATCTGGGGTAAAAGAACTGGAAAACTTAACTTCACAGGTGTCAGCCCTTTGTCCAGTCCTCATTTTGACCTACTTTAATGTTAAGAAAGATTCCTGTCTACCAAAAAAAAAAAAAAAAAAAAAAAAAAAATTTCTGAGTCCATGTTCTTAAGAGAAGAATTTACCCAGGACCAGAACTGAATCCTGCATCTGGTTTATTCCACAGTCTCCATGTTAATTTCTAACTTTGTACTACATTAAAAAAACAGGCAAACAAAAAACTGTTACGCCACTTTGTACTGGCTGAAATCCTTTGGTAAGGCTGACTGGGACAGGAGAGAGGGGAACCTCGTTGGGGAGATTTTAGAAGTTTTTAGGTTAATTCCTGAAAGCTGTCTGAGGAGTATCTACATGCAGATGCAATGGACAGGAGACAGAAAAGTCGTACAGAGCTCTTCTAGCACATTTGCTCTAAGAGAAGATCCAAACAAACAATTTCCAAACTTAGGCTTAAGTTTTTCCTAAGCATGAGAATATCTGGCACGAGGCTCACATCATCAGTCCCATTCCTCACCTAAGCCTTTCCAGTGCAAGAAAAGGCTCCAGTTTCCACAAACTGGAAAAATCAGGGGGACACCAGAAAGGACAGGTCTTCAAAACCCTGTCCACAGGCTCAGCATTGCAGATTCACTCTTACTGCTGGGGCTGAACCTCACCATCTCCCATCAAATTACTCCCGAGCCCACCATCCCCCACAAGCAGGGTCGCGTTTGCCGGGGTTTCACAGTGCTGATGTGGTCTTTAGGTCATACAACCTCCTACCAGCAGAGGGGGACTTTTAAAATAAGGGCCCAAGAGAATATTTTTGGTTTCAATTTGACCAAAGCAAACAAATACACAAATCTCCACAGGAGCAAAGGAGAAAACACGATCACAAGAGGCTCGCAGCTGCAGTGCAGGGAGCTGGCCCTGTAACATTAACCTCTGCGTTTTGGAAGGTGCTACGCAGAGGGAAGAGAATTACAACATCTCCTTCCATTACAACTATAGCTCTGGACACTGCCGAAACTAGTTCTGCAATAGTACTAGCTCCTTGTAATAAGAGTTATACATGCTACGAATTCCAGTTCTTTCCTACCTTTCAGGTTGGCATGATCATCCCACTTAGCCTGGCGAAAAAAATCAGATGGAAAGATCTTCTTGATCGCTATCAATGCGGATAGTGTCTTAAGTTACTAAATGTTAGACAAAAGGCTCAGGAAAATACACCGTTACCCCGAGCCATCCAGTCATTGCAGACGAATGGTTTTATGCACGTTTTTCTTTCTGAGGGTGCATTTAAAAAAAAAAAAAATCATCTGAGCCAAAAAATGAAAATAAATTTTAAAAAATAAATAAATTACCCCTGCTTGCAATTCATGTGTGTCTGCCTCACACAACGCAGTCATCCAAGTCTGAGCAGTCCCAAAAAGAAAAGTTTTCCGCGTCTTAGAGAACAAGGCACTTGATCCTGCCTAAGTTATGATCCCAATAGGAGTGGAGTGTTGAAGAAGCGCAAGCCATTTCCAAACTGAAATCAATTTTTACAGCTGCCAAGTGGAATGATTTGGAAGCGTTCCAGGGTGAAAGGGGTGTGTAGCTGCATCCCGGCATCGCACAATATGAAAACGGGAGGTGGGTTTGGCAAAGGACCGGTTCCTGATTTAAAAACAACAACATCTCCCACTGCTCCTTCCCCCGTCCCTGGAATTCTCTGGCTCCCTCCTGCGCAGTGGGCGGGAACCTGGGTGTTCTTGACAAATCCTTCTCCCCTGCACCTTTTTTTTCATTGGGTTTAGGCTCAAATTTACCTCTCCCTCCTCTTCCTCCCCCCAACAGGCCTGCAGATGGCTAATTGTTCATTAGCAAGAGTTCGGGGTATATCCAAAACTTTTGGGATGGTTTATGCAAATCCTGCACCTTCATTTTTTCCCTGGCTAAACCGGCAGTATTACCAACTGTACATTAAAAAAACCAAAACCAAAAACCCCAAAAAACCACACACATTGTGGGCGAGGCCACTCAATATCATGAGACTCCCTTAAAATAATGTAAATTTTAAATTAATAAAACAAGAAGAGGAGTTGCCTCCTCCTTTCCCAGTGCATCTGACTTGTATTTGCAGGCATTTTCTACAAATACGAGAAAAATTTTCTTTAAGGAACAAAAAAAGGTTGAGATTATCACAGAATCACCTCACTTAGGTATTTGATGAGAACCCTGCTAAAATATTGCAAGTGAGCAACAGCGATTTAGATAAAACCAGGATCGGATCCCTATGGTTCCTCAGGACCTCGGTTTTACACGATGAGCGGGACGGACAGGGAGCGGGGAACAAGAAGTCCCTGAGAGCAAACCGAAGTTTCTTCCCACTGAGTTGGACTCGGGGAGATAACACCACCGAAGGAAAAACGAACTTGCGAAACGGCAGGACCAACAGTGCACCGCGAACACATTCTGCGCACCCGCAGCTGAGGCAAGGCGCGGAGCCTGGGCTGCCAGCTGCGGATCTACAGGCACCTTCTTCCCCTTGGGCTGGAGGGGAGGCTCCAGGCAGGGCTGGGAGCAGCTTCGGGCTCCTCCGGAGGAGGTAACGGCAGGTGGCGGCACCGGTACGCAGAGCTACCCAGGGCTTCTCCGGGATGGGATAGGAAAGGAATCACACTTGCAAATCTCAAGTGGATGTTTTCACAGCCTTAAAATAGGGTCAGCTGCCCCCAAGCAATCAGAGTGAAAAACACAGGGAGGGTGACTGGATGGAAAGAGAGTCCTTTCCTTAGTTGGCTAGCACATCTGCTGGGCCTGGCCAAGGATGGATTGTTTCTTACCTGTCCCTGGCCTAAAAACAAAAACAAAAAGCAAAACAAACTAAGAAACATATTGAGGGCGATGGAAAATGATCAAAGCTCTTCAGCTTGCTTGCGTAACCGATTTGTGGAAGGTGTTTCATAAACATTTCATAAGAAGGAGAATTATGAAGAAAACATCTCCCAACCTGCCTGCAATTACCGCACAAACTCTTCCTTACCAGTAGGAAGAAGGGGAAGAAAAAAAAAAAGTACATCTGTTTTGTAACTGATCTGTGAACTTTTGGCAAACATTCGGCTCATGAAAACATCCTGCAGACATATTGCAAAGCCAGCCTTACATGAGGAAGTTGGAAAGATTCACCTTAGCAGCTCTGATTTCACCCCGTGGAAGGCCATACCCTTCCGAGAGACAGACAGACCGACCAACCCACATTTGATTCAATGGACCGACGGTCAGATGCCATTGTTTTGGCATCTGGCTGCAGCCCTCCTTGTACTAGTCCAGCTTAGGGTCACTGCTCACTGGTGACCTGAATTGGTCTTCCTCATCTATTAGACACCAAAGCAGGCAGCCTGTACGCAGCCCCAAGCCACCTCCTCTTGACAAGCACTTCTGATGTAATGTGAGCACCGCTCCGTCATCCTCTCCGCAAAGGTGGGACCCACCGACTGATTCAGCACCCAGAGCCTCAGATGCTTTCCCCAAATCTAGATAGGAGATCTCCATTCCCTGCCAGAGTGAGGCCGTTAAAGCCATGTCAGCCTTCTACGGTACCAGTTATTAGGCAGGAGCTGCGGTCGCTATTGTAAGATAGAAGACAATCTTATTTGTTGTGTAGTTTCTATTTAGAAGGTAACCTCTTTGAAACAGATATTTATCTGCCGTCGTATCTGGCTTATCTCATAGTCAGCAACTCACAACTGTTGGAGAGTTTGACTTACTCATATCCCTCCCTCCGCTGCGGAGTGGTAAGGCTACTTCACTGGATAGAAGAGGGTCAGGTGCACACAGACCTAAGAGGGTCTGAACCAATTGCCCCTCTCTGAAAAACGAACAGCATGGTTCTTCCGGTGCCGAGTCACTCCCAAAGCGTTATTCGGTACCACAGGGCTCTCTGAAGCTGCCCCAAAGTGATTTGCCTGAAGTCAACGGAGGAAGTTTTATGACAGAAACAGATATCAAAACTAGATCCAAGGTTATTGCAGTTAACTAAGCCTTCCCACCTTCCAATGGCGTAAGCGACTTCTCTGTGAATTACATGCACACGTGGGCACCATAAAATAAAAAACACACTAATAATAAATTATAGCAATAATAATAATGGGCTTGCAATTACTGTTTCCACATGTACTATCCTGCACGTACAGCAAAGCTTAACAGACACCCAGGAAGAAAGCAGAAAACCCTTATGTCAATGCAACGATATTCAGTCTGTAACATCTGATATCCTTTTGCAGTGAAGGGTGGTATTTTTTAGAAGCTGTCAGTGTGACAAAAGGGGAGTTAATCCCA